ATCGGCCGTTGGGCAATTTTGCAGGTGTTTCGACGCCGGGACTTGCCCGGTTTCTCCTTCGGGATTCAGAATGAGATGGCCGGCAAATCGGGATGGGACAACGTTACTCTGGCCCCGCCGTTCTCCCGTTTCTTACTTGGTTCTGCTCTCCTGATCGTTTCATTTTTGCAGCGGGTTTTTTTTTTTTTTAAAAAAAAGGTTGCTAACAGACTGAGCGTGGCAGAGATTTGTTTACATTTAGCGTGGCCCATAAACTGCCAAGATGCTGTCAGATGGTAATCGTGTATTTACTTCCTGCATTTGTGTTTCGGATTTGCTTCCGAGAGGCTCGAGAGACCCGACCGAAGGGTCTCCTTCATTCGCACAAAGGGGTTTTGGAAGTCAGCTCTGGTGTCCACTAGGTTTTTTTTAAATAAACAAACAAACAGGTCTCCGATCCAGATCCAACGCTGCAATATACTGACTCGTTAACTGTGTTGTTAGAAATCCCGTTAAGGCAAACGGGATTATAAACATTCATTAGGATTGTATGCCGATGGAAAATCGGACTTTCGAATAACTGGCGCTAAAATCCAGCCATCCATACCTTAAAATAAAAAAATAAAAAAAGAATCACGCTTGAAGGAATTGGTTGATAGACTGGGCGGGAACTGCTTTCGACTTGGGAGTAGGAACACTTGTTACATCCGCATGATGGCATTCTGACTTCAGATCTTTGAAAGAACAATGAATGTCACAGCGGAAGTGGTAGGGACTATCTTTAATATACTTCTTCGGCTTTTAACTTCTCTCCAAAGACTCGCACCAGTATCGCTTAGGAAAAGGAACCCCCAATCTTACATATACATCATTTACACGATCTGATTCACGCACTAGGGTTTTTTTTTTTTTACCGTGGGTGCTTGAATAAGTCACATTTCCTTGGCTTCACATAGCACGGTGAGCCACAAATCACAGGTCTGGGTTTATAAAATATCTCAATCCGAAACAAAACATTACGGCTTAATGTGGGTGTAAAGCAGATCCTACACGCGCGCGCCCACGCGAACACAAGTTTCCTAGTGAAACTTCCGAGCGAGCTGGGCCGAATGGGAATCTTCGCTTCCCGTTCTCACTCAATGGGGTATAATCTTACTTGGCGCTGGTCAACCATCAACGCATTCGGAAAACATCAGCACCTCACCTCAGAAGGCATCCTTCCGCAATTTCTAAATCTATCAGCTGTTGTGCATAACAAAACCCGGAGTAAGGGAAAGGAATACCTTTTGAAGCTACTCTGCGTGGTAAGCGGACTCCCATCTATTCAAACTGGCTTTCCCCAAGAACCTAGATCCTTGAGGCCGGCGCAAAACTCACGTGGGTTTTGAGCCTTACAAACCTCCTTGGACCGGGCCGTGTGGCCGTCCGTTCCCTCCAAAACCCCAAAAGATAATATTTTGAATTCACACATCTGACAAGAGGCTGCAGGGAATAAAACTCACAACTATGTTCTGCGCTAGATTTGCGTTCGGAGACGCTAAATTTCCTTACGATCAAGGCGATCTTGTATCCATGCAGGGGAGCATACGAAGATTCATAGTCGGCCACAAGACAATGCATTCTATGTGCATGTATGTAGGAGGGTACACTGGTCTTTGGAATTGTGTGTTGTTAACAATTCGAGCGAGATTTGAGCGGACGAAGGCGAAGGAGCATTTTGAGAGATCTGCAGCGTTGCAAAAGCGAAACGATTAGATTTTTGCAATCTTGCCGTTTGAAAAAGGAAAATCGGATTGAAACCCTGCATACTTCGCGAGAATCGACCGCATTCGATTCAGTGGGGGGTTTTTTTTCTCCAGGAACTAGCAGCTCTCGCGACTTGGCTCAGATTCTGTCTCCAACTTTCCAATACATTTCTTTCAAGCCCGGATCGCTACCCTCCTATCTTCTGCTTTTAAAGAGGGATAAAGTGTGTATGAAAGAATTTGGCTGTTCTGTTAAACTGAACCCCAGTTTCTGCCAACAGATTTTTCGTTTTATTACACCTTCAAGCCTGGTGGAATTAACCACCCGACTGTGGGTGGGACTGTTCCTGAAACAGAGAAGAGAGGCTTTTAATCGGTGCGTTGGGGAAGGTCGAGTTGTAAGATAGCCAAAACAATTCCTGTTGTATTCCCTATTCCCCGAAGAAGCAAGTTAAGTACCTCAAATCCAAATTCAGCTAATAAATAGAAAGCTGTTCTGCAAAAACATTCTAACGGCATATTTCCAATATTGTGGGATTCATTTCCAAGTACTTAGGATCGGATTCGTTAGAACAACTCGAGCTGCGGAACTAATCTCTGGGTTGCAATCTCTCTATTTCGTCAGTTGAACGAAATAACTTTTAAGACCTTCTCAGATTTCAAGTCAGCTAGTTCGTACATTAATATAGGTTTTTTTAAAAAGAAACTGGTAAGGTATAAGACCTTGCAAAGGAATGACTTTCCAGCACCAAATATATTTAAACACCGGGCTCCATAATTACTTATATTACACGTGTGCATTCTTTCCCCAGCGGTAAGTGGCGTCGCCTGATCTGCAAGACCTAATGGAAACTCGATATTTACTCGCGGGGAAGCTGTAGAAAAGTCTTTCCTACAAACTTTCCCAGTCCCCTCTTGCCAGAAGTAAAGGCCTTTTTTTTTAACCGAGCAGTGCCTTGCGGGAGAGAACAGAAAGACCCACTTGTTCCCAGTTTGCTCCGTTTCCCGGGACCGGAGCAGCAACGGCTCGTCCCCTCCCGCCCATGGGTGCTTTTCCTTATCCTCTCTCTGGGACTTCGCTGAAGAAGCGAGCCAGGTGTCCTTTCCCGCCTCCACTCGGGAGCCGAAGGGTCACAAACTGGACGCGGCTCCGGTGCTTTCAGGCCCGCACAAGGGTAAAAAGGGGTGGGCCCAGAAACGGGTGACGTAACTCCGCCGCTCAACCAGTAAGAGGCCGGCCTTTCGGAGTTCTCTTCCAATAGGGAGCCATCTTGCCGTGTGAGTGGCGTTAAGGCCGGGCAGACGGAAGCAGGGCTGAGAAATGAAGTTGGGTAAAAAGCCCTTTTGGCTATCCAGAAGTTTATTAGGCATTTCTCAGCCTGAAAATTAAGGATTCCTCATTAACTGTCGCTTCCTCCTGATTACAATCCTGGGAGAGCCGGACAGCAACGCTAGAGGATGAGAAGGCACAGATCCCTCTTCCCACCCGTGGGAGAAGAACTTTTCCACTTTTGACGGATCTCCCTGATGATCTTTAATAAAGTCTCGCTCGCCACTGTCACCTTGGGCTTGGGGAGTGCAGGTAGGTGGAGGGGGCGGCAGCTGGGGGAGGGAGAAACAGGAGACACCCGGAGGCTGCTGCGGTGGGAGGGGGGACTGGGCGGGCGAGGGAAAGTAACTCTTGTCTTTGGATCGGCAAAGAGTCACCCTCGTTCTTCCCACGGGTGGTTTGTCTAGCTGAAAAGATGCGCTTTGGGGCTCTGCGTATCTCTGCCCGAGGGGAAAGGAGGGAGGGAAGGCAGGCGGGGACCGTTTTAAAAACTTCCATACCGCAAAAGAGCGATTTCGAAACTGGGCTGAATGGAGAACGCCAAGCGGTAAGCGATGACTTTGCGCTATGCTTCCACTTCTCCGGGGTAGCGGGGGCGGTGGGGGTGGGAGAGGAAAAGACTCCAGCTCCTGTTGATCCTGCAGCCGGTATTATTTGCCGTAGGGATCGCCATCCTCGAGTCGTTTAAGTAGGAGCTCCGGGTTTAAGTTGGGGCTCGGGATAATGACTTCCAAAGGAGACTTTGGCCAAGGCGTAAGAAAGTTGTCCTGATGATCAAGTAAGGCGTAAGTGGTTTGTGGATGGAGATCTATCTTATAAGGAAGTGGCTGGCTTGTAGCTTAGCTGAACGAAGCCGACCGTCCCCTCAAAGAAGGAGTGGCTGCTAGAAGGAAATGGGGAAGTTAGAAATTGGTATCTGAGCGTTTTATATGAACAGTCGTGCGTGGTCATTCGGATGGGCCGCTTGTCTCCTTATAACTCCTTTACATATAAATTACATATCGCACGAATGAACATGGAGAAAGTCCAGAGAGAGGGTGTTCTCCTCAAGACTTACTGCTGTAAACATTCCTTTCAAAACTCTGGAGCGAAGCTGAAAGTTATTTGGAATCGGCCAGATCCGAAACCGCAGGGGACAGATACCGCATTTTCCGACCGGTATCAATTCCTTTCGGCATTTCCGTACTAAGAGCCTCCAAGGGCCTTTAAATCCCCTCAACTCTATTCCTTTCCAATCGTTGCTTAAAAGCTACAGCAGTCTCCCTCGGTCTCTCCTTCGCAGCCTTGAGCTGCACCTATGGCAGAATCCTATGCTGAGTTCTTCCAAAGTCGCCCTAATGTATTTGTCTGCTTCATTAATGGGCGAAAGGATTCCCCCTTCGCAGATTTTATCAAAAGAGGAGCCTTGTCAGAATATTAACCTTTGACTTTTTCTGTCTCCCCGTCCCGCCGCTGTTGTCCTCACAGCTGCTTGAAAAGAAGGGTTCCTGGGTCTGCCGATTGCCAAAGGCCTGCGCCCCGATCCTTGGAGATCCTGAGAAAGAGGAAGGATGCCCAAAAGAGAAGCACTATGAGGTCTCCTGGGCGGAGGAGTTACTTTGGCCAACAAAAAAGGAAGAGAAGCGCCAGGGTCCTGGGCTAAATTTCTGAGAGTCAGTCAACCACGCCTTTGGGGCTCCTTCCCTCTGGATTCCTCACTTGATGGGTTCTCTGAGGCTTTGTTGAAATTGAGGGTTTCATAATGTTGCTCCTCAGCTGGTAAGGCCGCTCTGCACTCTCTTCCTCACCACTTGAACCCCAGCCGTAGGAGGTTTTGGCGAGATGGCTTAGACTAGGGACACCGAGCCGAGCCAAGCAGAGCTGGCGATGCTTTGCTGGGAGTGACCTTTCTTCTTGGATGCATCTGCGGATCTGGCTTGGTCGCAGAGAAGGAGAAAAAAAGCACCATGAAAGAGAAATCCAAAAATGCTGCCCGAACTAGGCGGGAGAAAGAAAACAGCGAATTCTACGAACTGGCCAAGCTTCTGCCTTTGCCTTCAGCTATCACCTCGCAACTGGACAAGGCCTCCATCATTCGCCTCACTACCAGCTACTTAAAAATGAGGGTGGTCTTCCCGGAAGGTAAGTAGCACCCCTCCTGAGCCTTTCATCTCTCTAATGCCTTAGGGAGAGTGGAACCAATAGGGTTATTCTTCCTGGCCGGGCCAACCTTGACTTCCACCTCTTTTGTCTGCTCAAGAGAACTTCTAGAGCGACTGACTAAGCAGTCCAGTGAAAAACTACTTATCCTTAGGGCAGAAGTTGTGTGGATTCTGCAGAAAGTTCTCTGGAGACTTTCCTCTTTTGTCTGCTGCTACTTCCTCCTCCTCCTCCTCTCCCCCCACCCCAAACCCTTTCGTAGTCTTTGGTACATAGGACCTGTTTGGAACCAGAGGCACCTTTGTCAACACAATGAAGCTGGGAGCTCAGCTGCCACTTCCAGTGACTAAAACAAACAAACCATCCCACCAACTCCTCTCTCTGGTCAAGCCACGTGGATTGCCCCAGCGGGTATCTCTCTCTCTCTCTCTCTCTCTCTCTCTCTCTCTCTCTCTTGGGTATTTACGATAGAAAAATTTGGGAGGAGGGAGAAGGAAGGCAAGAAATTAATGCCAAGTTAAATATTGATCGAGATCCTAAGCCCTGGTTCCTATTGTGTGGACCAAGGTGGCACAACTCCAAGGGAGGGAAGAAAGAGAGATATACAAGAAAGTGAATATGTATGAATGTGGGCACATCTGGATCGAATATCCATGATCCCCGTTTGGAGACCAAGTAGAAATCAGTGTCTGTGCCTGGGTTCTGGGTCCAGGTGGTTAGGGAAATAAAACCCTTCCTTGGAATAAGTCCTCTTTGGCTAGGAAAGTCATATTTCATCCCAGATGAACATATTCTTATCTTTAGGGTGGGAAAACACTGTTGTCATGCCTGGCACAGGATGGAAATCAAAATCAGAGTGAGAAAGAGTCAGTGAACTCCACACTGAAGAAAATGAGCCCAGAAATTGGAATATGAGGCTTTTTTGGGTCTCTGGCCCTGCCTTTAAAGAAAAAAAACAAATCCTTACAGGTAGATACAAGTCTAATGAGTTTTTCTAGTGAAATGTGAGCAAGAGAATTTTCTTTGCAGAGACCAAATTCTAGCTACCTCTATAACTGTTTCCTAAAGTAAAGGTCCTGGGTAGTTCTGTAAAACTAAAGACAAAGGCGTTCAGAATTTATCCACATCTGGAATAGTCTTATGAGACAATCCCTATGTAGATTTATCAGGAAAATTGATGTAGGATTCACATAAATTTATTCTCTGTGGATTTAAATTTTTCAAAAGGATTTGTTTTGTGTATTGGGATATATGACTACTTTAAAATTTTATTCTAGCCAGGGATTGGAAAAAGTCAGCAAAGATGGGCTGGCCATTGAGGTTTGTAGTTTTTCCAGTGGAATTTAAGGGCACATGTAATATTATACAAAAATGTTGTCGTTATGAACCAGAGTAAGAAAACAGTAGATAGAGATTTGTATTTCCACATCTGTTAATGAAAGTGAATTTACAATCAATTTGTCAAGTTAGAATTTAATAGAAACTGAATCTTTGTCCTATTGCCTTTGAAATTTTTACAGATCCTTTAAAATGGAATTTCTTTCCAAGTAAGCTTGTGATGTAAACATAGAACATATGTATACATATGGGATCAGAACAACAAAGTAACTAGATTTGGGACAGGGATTTTAGCTGTTTCCCGTTTGACAATGCCCAATACAGTGTATTAGCATGACAGCCAAGCTGTTTGCACAGCAGGAAAGCCAGGTTATATTTCTTTAAAGTCCTGCTGACTTCAAGAGAAGCAGAATTTAACCGCTTGCTTGTACAACCACACTAAAAGGAGCGCGGGGAGGGCACAAGCGCTTGATTTGGGCTGGATCGTGACCAGCGAAAGATAATTGAATTGGGACGCTTTGAAATAAACTTTAAAAAAGATACCAAGTAGCCAAAGATTTCGAGAATTACGTGTATTTATGGAGGTTTACAGCGCGGGGATCAGCGGGATATAAAAACAAACCATTTGTTCGCAAGAAAGCCCTCTTTGCTTTCAATGAAAATTGTCTGCGGGTACCTGTGGGCGCAAAGAAAATGGGCTACCTGATGCTTGCACCCAGAGCCCAAAACCCGCTCTGCGGTGACCGAATTGTGCTGTCACCTTGGGAAAGCCATGCAAGTCAGGTGGCGTTTTAAAAAGACAGCCTGGGGAGTTTTAGCGTTAGGAAATCCCTCTGACCGGGAAACCCCTTTGAAAGAAAGCGGAGGCAAAGGCATTCCAGATTTGATTTTTAAATATATTTGCATCTCTTCGGAGAGCTTTGCTGGAGGTCACCTTTCCGGCGAATGCAAGCGGGATACTATTGTCGCGACGATTGTTATCCTTCTTGTGGTTCGTCGCACAGCCAGCCAGAGGTTTAGGCTGGTTTTGGCATTTTTCTCGAGGGGGAACGGGATTGGAAAGGAGCCAACGGGTAAGACCCGGTGCAGCTTCTCCAAGATGATTAGCCGCGTTTTTTCCCACCGCTTCTATCTCGGCGGGCTACCTCGGCTTCGTGCTTCGCGGCGGATCTGCTCAATTACTGGCACCTCCCTGGCGGGCTTGTTCGATCAGAAGCAGCATATGGTGCGGCTTGTGGCCTGCGAGTAATCAGAGCGGCCGGACGAGAAGGGGGTCTCCCGTCCCAGCATCTCCTGGCTTGGAAAACCGCCGAATATCTGGGCTGGAAGGGGGTGAAACGGGCTGGGGAGGAGAGGTTAAGCCTCGGGGGAGTTAGCGCCGGCCAAGTACGAGCCGGTGGAAGCCGCTGGACTCCAACCGCACGTGGGGAGGGAGCGGTTGTCCATGGGGCAGCCGGAGAGCTGCTTGAAGGAGCTTGATGGGACGAGGGTTGCCTGAAGGATAATTCGACTTCTGGTGGGCTTTTTTTTTCTAAGAGGGCATGTTGTCTACGCAGTCGAGTTTTGGGAAAGCGGCTCCGGCTTTTAAAGTGTTCGAATCCCCTGAAATCTATCCTGGCCTGAATAAGTCCCTTGGCTCGGAAAGCAATTGCCGGGGTGGTGGTGGTGGTGGCTTGTATTTCCCTTCCAGGTAGTCGTGGCACCTTCTTTAATGGCACGCTTTTCTGCGGCATGCCTCCCTTCTGAGATTTCTTCCGGGCCGACCGCGGTTCGATCCCGCATTTATTTCTCTTCTTCGCGGTAATCCTCTCCTTCTCACTCGCCTAAACTTCCTCCCAGGGCAGGCTTTTTAAACCTCCACAAATCCCAGACTAAGCCATCCCCGGCTGCCCGGGCCAGCAATCCAGAGCATTCGCCCGAAGAAAACGTCGAGGAGTAGAGAAGAAAAGGCGGCGGGCTGGGTCGGCGGGCAGAAGCTTTGGTTGCCTGTGTAAAGGAATCGATACGAGCCAAAATTGGGCGAGGAGAAAAAGCGATACTGAGTATTGGATTCTAAACACGCACACCTGAATCTAAATCCCATTGATTCCCAGGCAGCTTCCTTGCTTTTCACCAAGCGGATAGGATCCCCACCTTACAGGCTGAGCTTTCCAATATTTGCTCATCGATTTCAGTGAAGCCTATTTATTTCCAAGGAGGATCTGAGTGGCAGCTGCCTTCCTGCTTGTTTGTAAGGGCCTCACCTATTTACCGATGAAGTAAACCCCCTCGCTTTGAACCTACTTTAGGGGATAGAGCAAGCCCCGCACAACTGTATGAGAAGGAGAGGATCCCGTGGGTGGGGGTCGTGGGGAAAGGGTGAGTTAGGCGCCAATATAACGCTACAGATGGTCTAAGAAGAGGCGGCGGCAATTTTGGTTTAAAAGTTTTAGATTCACTCTTTGGGGGACAGTTTCGCCTTCTTTTCACTCCGGTACTTCAATCGCTAGGCAAATACCGAACGATTGGAAAGCCAACCACTGTTCTTCGCTCTTTGTTAAGCCCCCACTTTAAAAAAAGGCAGCAAGGAAGCGGGCTCAGGGGTGGGGGATGTCGTTTTCTCGGGTTTGGACTCACCTGAAATGGAGGAGAAACTTTAAGGTTACTGGTCGGGAAAGGGTGTTGGGGGGGATGTTCTAGAGCGAACAATGGAGGATTGCAGTTACTCATAAGTATCTTTTCTTTCATGATCCCCACTGCCAGCCCAATTGGGATTTTTATGTAAGTCTCTAATACGGGTTGACGTTTCCTGATCTGAGGTTCCTCTTGGTTGGCCTCCTGATTATATTATGTTGGGCGGGGAAAAAAAGGGTCCGTAAGGGCCTTTGAATTTGATCTTGAACGGCCACCGGTGTTGGATTCACAGGGAAATCGGTCCCCCCCATTCTCCCCGACGATGCATAGGCGAGGAGGTAAATACCTTTGAAGGAATCGGTTGATCGGTTGAGGAGAAGGGCTGGCAAGCTTTTCAACGAAAAGCTGAGGCTGAAAGGTCGGGGTGGATGTCACAGGTTAGACCAGGCTGTGCCGCAAAGGCCGAGCTGAGTTCACTTCTCTCGCCAGCTCCTGACTCGGGCGGGGCCTGCTTACCAAACTACCCCAGGGATCCGAGAGTTCTTCGCTCGTTGGCATTGGAAAGGGGAGATTGGAAAGGAGTAAACCGCAGCGGAACCGACAGTTCTTTTGAATTAGAAAGTCACCTCATTCTGTTCTAGTCTCCTCCTCCTCTTCCTCCTCCTCCCCCCCCCCCCCCCCCATCCCCAGAAAAAAACTGTGGTTCCTTTCAAGACTTCCACTTTTATTATGCCACAATCTTCCAGTTTGTTCAATATAATTGCTATGCCCAATCGGTAGATATACCCGTTTTTCTGCAAATGCACAGCATCCATTGTGCCGGGAACGGGGCCCTAGGATTTTCTGCTACTGTTTTTGTCATTTCACGATTTTTTTTTAAAGGAAGACAAGCCAACCGTTGCGCTGAAACCGCATTTCTGTACCCCTTTGCCTACTAGGAAGGCGTGGTTTAATACTGGCAGGTATGCATGTAGAATCCCTGGGTTGTGCTTTTCTAAAACTTAAAACGTGACGACCCAACGCAGAAAGTT